CATAAGTCACCAACAGTAGTTCCCAGTAGGCTCAGTAGAACAAGGTGATAACCAAGAAAAGCGGACAGAGTACTTATAGCTCCACTTTCTTCATTCTAATTTTGCAGTACTAGTAGGTATGCGGGCTGTATGATAAACTACCCTAAGCCTTACTTTTTACATTGTAACTACACATTATTTTAGGTGTCAGCTGTAATATATGTCAGTTATTGTGTTTGCAGCTTCATACTTAAAATCCTTATATGGATTAAAGCAAATAATGTCTAGTGCGTCCGATAAAAGAGGTATAAGGTTGCATAACAACATAAACTACAGTAAAACAGTTAACTGAGAGCATTGTCCAGCAGAGGTCGCTGAAGTTACGGTACCGCTCTGACTGCACTCAACTGTAGTCGCACACATTATCTGTGAATGCTCCTCTTGTGCCGCTCTCACCACTTAATTACAAAACCCGAGCTTCTGTAGTGAGACCTTAAAGGCCAAAGAACTTTGATGACCAAAGTTTTGAAACTGACTTGTGAGTATTTTTGTGTGTGTGTGTGCAAGAGAGGGTCATAATGTAAATTTCTGGTGTCATTTCCTTGATATTTAGGCCACTAAACAATCTGGAGCAAACACTCAAACTGAAAATGAACCACAAGATGAGCTACTCCACACAGCTGGTGTATGTGTGTAAGTGTGAAAACTGTGTGTGTGCGTGCGCGTGTGTCTGCATATGTGCATGCTTTTGAGAGTGGGGCCTGGTTTTACAGAGCAGAAACGAAAAGTGGTGTGGAAGATGCAGCAGTGGTGGCAAACATTATGTGTGAGCGAGAAATGCATTCACTCATGCCACAGAGAAAAATCTCAAGATAAATTCTGCAACTGTGACTGACGAGGACAGTTCTTCAGATAACATGCTCAGCTTCTCTACGTAAACATTCAAACCCACAATACCGCCCCAGATTGCTGAGCGTTTATTAAATCTAAAAGCTTTACATAGCTGAGAATTGCAGTGCAGTTTTACACCGACTGCATTAGATTTTCTTCTAAAGCTCTCTTTCTCTCTTTGCTTGTATGCATATGTGGGTGTGGGTGTTTGTGTACGCTTATGCTGACAATGGTTACATGAAGTGCTGTATTAGTACCCCTACTGTTTACTCATAACAATCAAAAAAGCTGAATTTGGAAGTCTGTACACTTCTCGCCTTCAACCGTTGCCATCTTGGTTACATAGATGAATGGCAAAGACCGCTAATCGAAGAAACTTCTGGGATGAAGCAGAGTTAAAACATCTTCAAGAAACTTAAAGAAGTCCAGTCGCTTTTCTTTCTAAGCTCCTTAGACCTCTAATCTTTCCTCTTTCTACAAGTTTTAGACCAGTAGAAGAATAAATTATCATTGGTGTTATAACTATGGTCTCCACTAGTTAACAGTGCTAGATTGTTCTACCTTTTAGCTTTGCTCTTTTTGCCTTCATAGTTTGCAAATGAATATATGGAATCCTATGAAAAATTAAGTACTGCTGTACTCCCCACCATTCAATAGGTTGTAGAACCACATTTAGCAAGTTTAACTTAAAATAATTAATCTCGCTGAGATTTGGGCTGTCTCTAACATTGTACTCTTCTTTACTGTGTTATGCACAGCTCTCTTGCGCAGCATTTCAGTTAGGCTGAAGTCCACAAACCGAGCTCAAATCATCAAGACTCTACCACTGTGCTTTAAGAGTTGGTAGGAGGTGTTTGTGCTGGTATGCTGTTTGCTTGTGGTGGTGTGTATCACGGCCAAACATCTCTACTCTGGTCTGGTTTGTCCAAATCCAAGAAATGCAAGAATTCTTATGGTTTGTTCAAATGTAACTGCCAACCTAAGCCGTGCTGCCATGTTCTTTTAGATAGAAGATGCTTTCTCCTGGCAGTTGTTTCAACTCAAGCCTTACTTGTTCAGTCTTTTCTAATTGTGCTGTCATGGACTTTAACATTTAGCATGCTAATTGAGGCCTGTAGAGGCCAAGATGTAGTTTTGATTTATTTCAGTTTTTCTGAGCATTGGCACCATCTGACCTTAGGTTGAGTTTGCTGGGAAGATTGTTTGACATAGACGTGAATGTTTAAAACCAGCAAAGTCCACAAACATCTGCTGCTACTTTCGGCTGATTTAGACTTCTGCTATGAATCTTTGTATAGCCTACAATGTAATCTACGCAAGTAGTTGATGTCTCTGGTATTTAAGCTTTATGTGCTAATTACTATGTGATTGTTTTATATGCCGTGCCAACAGAAAGAAATGCTGTGACTTCTTCCTTCCTGGCCAATCACAGCAGTTGTGGGCAGCTTTGCAGTTTGGTTGGCATACGTCAGATTACGCTGTAGTGTTTCAGAGGGGTTTCGCTTTTCATCATACACACAGTTGTGTGAAAATGTTTCCATGTAACTGTATGTATGACAGATGCAACACATCAAATTATGGCGTTGCAATGGAACTTGTGATTTAGCGAACAACAAAGCTCATTATTTTCTCCAAAAGCTCCTTTGCTTGCTAACATGTTAAAGCTGAAATATCTGATTTCCTGGCTATTTAGAGTCAGCTCACTAAGCATTAAATGTACTATTGACCTTACATTTCTGCAGCATGTAAAGCTGTATATTAAGGGGTATATGCTAAAAGTATTTGACAGATGAAAGCTACACTTTAGCTTTAGCTGAGGTACCCACCCCCAAGAGTCTGTCCATACTTATTTAAATGGGAGGGCTATCAGTATGTGCTAACTCACAGGAAGAAATTAATGCACTTCCATAAACGTCAGTCTACACATTTAGGGTAAATGCTTGTGTATGTGTAGTGGCCAGCCTCAGCACAGCTAAATGTGATAAACAAAATAATATTTGAACAAAAGTCATTACACAGAGAGCTAATCAACTCAAGTCTTTGTATTTTTCTCTTGTTTTCAAAAGAGAGCACATTATGGTTTCCATGATCTCACTGCAAAATAAACTGAGGTTTTTCTATCTCTTTCGGGGAACGTGGCTACAAAATTAGAAAGCAGGGCTGTGGTGCGATGAACATTACAAGGGGCTGCTATCCTATAAACACCCTCGGTTTCAAAGTTGTGCTCTAAACCCTGCGGCTTCACACCTTTTCAACTGCAATATACACACACACTGTGACGCACTCACACACCCTTGCCCATAGGCAGGGATGTTTTGGGTGGGGTTGAGTTAGGTGACAGGATTCACACGACCATGTCATGAAAAAACATCACAAGTTTGCAACAAACCTCACACATCAAATGGCTAACATCTTTAATCACAAGCAAACAGCTCAGACACCCTTCACAATGATGGCGAGTTTATGGTAAATATTCTGTAACTCCGATGGAATTATTAGAATTAGTAGCTGACTTATGATCAGAAGCAAGGCCCTTTCTGTAAATGTTCAAGACTTTTTAAATAGACACAAAGAAAGTACACCCGCTGTTCAATCTGAACTTTATGTATCAGGATGTAATAAAAATAATTTAGCTCTTTAGCAAGTCTTAAAATCACATAAATACAACTTTTGATGAACCACAAAGCATGACATATTATACCGTGTCTTTGTTTATTTATCTAACAAACACTAAGAAAAAATGTAGGCGCACGTGTGAATAAATAAGCACACCCTTAATTCTTTAATAGGAATTAGGAGGGCAAGAAACAGGCAGGTGCTACAAATCACTTGATTAACTGATCATCGCCAAGTGTGAGCACCTCTATGAAAGCTGACGCTTTGGTTGTTTGCTGGTCTGGAGCTTTCAGGTGTTTGTTAACACAAAAGCGAGGAGGAAAGACATCAGCAGTAACCCTAAATAAGCAACTGTTGCTGTCCATCAATCTAGGAAAGGTGGTATATGAGGTGTAAACAATTTGAAGTCCGTCATTCTACGTTCAGGACAGATGCCAGATCCCAGCAAAATCACCCCAACCCTGGCGTTTTGAGCCAGGCTGCCCACCATGATCGGTCAAAACAGCAATGCTAATGATGTATATGCAAAAAAAGAGAGAAATACAGTATTTAATCACATTATTTTCTCTTTAAAAATGCATTGCAAAGAATAATTGAACTCATTTTACTACTTTTTGTTCGTGGTACCACTGATGGTGTAGCTGAAGGGGAATTCTAGTTTCTTTTTCTCGCAGAAGGAAGGTAGGAGAGAGTTCATTGGGCAATCCAGTGTCAGTAATGAAAACAATGCTAGTTCCTGTATACTGTACTAGCAACTTGGTTTTGGCGTTCGGTGTATGCTCTGCCTGCTAGCATCTTGCACCCTGGTGTTATGTGCTGGACTGTCTCTGGAGCATCTTTGCACAGGGTGTGGCTGAGGTCTTGTCTTGTCTGGTGTGGTAGACCCCAACCTTGCTGGAGCTTCTGCTTTAAACTTGTTACTGTGCTGCCAGGATTAGTGCCTCTGTTCAGTCCAGGATTTCTCAGTATCAGCCACTTCCTCTATCTGCCGATGCATGTCGTGCAGGGGCCTGTCATTTCATGACAATTCCTCCTCTAGCTCCTCTTTTTTCTCAAATTTCTGCTGCCTGAGGTATTCACTAAGGGCATGATCAGTTTTGGCCATTTTCCTGATGTACTCATGGATGTTTGCCGTTTCGTCCTGGAAAGTGGTTCTGACACTCACTAGCCCTTCCTTCCACTCAGCAGTGGCTTCTGTCTCCTCCTTTGGTCAGCGTATTATCCCAGTGGGCTATCTGATGACTGGCAGGGTGTAGGTGGTGATTGCCCAGGTCTTGTTCTTCCCATTCAGCTGACTCCTCAGGACTTGCTTATGTGGTGTTGCAGCTTTCCTAGGTACGTGTTGTTGTCCTCAGTGTTTGCAGTGCTGCCTTCTGTTAGTACAATCTCCTCAGTTCTGACTACCTTCCCTCTCTTTGTTGCCATCCGACTACACTTTCCCACCTTGAATGACATTCCAATGTTATTGCTATAGATCCTAGTGGTATGGATCAGGGAATCGATGTCTCATTCACTCCTGGCATACGGCTTGTTGTCATCCATGTAGAGGAGGTGACTGATGTTTGCTCCATTCTGTAGCAGGTATCCATTGGTGGGGTCCAGGCCTGTGCAGAACATCAGCAGGGACAGCATCTCCTTGGTAATCCAGCACTCGATGGTCACTTGTGCTTTTGGCTTGAAGTTGGCCTCTAGTGTTGTCCGCCACATCCCCATCAAATTCCTGATGAAGGCTTTTAGGGTACTGTGGACAGTTCCAGGCATTCCAGGATCCATGGATCAATCCAGTTTAATGGACCATGAGGAGTGGCCATTAAAGCTGCCCCATAGCCTGTATGATTATATCGACAAAGAAAAAAAGTTAGTTTGAACTACGTCTAAGCCAGATTACCAGTATGTCATTTTACCAATCCAGCCTGCATGTAAGGCTCAAAAAAAAGAAAAGAAAAAAAGAGCTACATCTCAGAGTCTACAGGCCTCAGTCAGCATTTTAAATGTTAAAGTTCATGACACCACGATTAGAAAAAGACTGAGCAAGTATGAGAGAAAGCCTCTTCTCTCTAAAAAGAACACAGCAGTACAGCTTAGCTTTGCAAAGCTGCATCTGAACAAACCACAAGACTTCTTTGGACAGATGAAACCAAAGTGGAGAAGGTGCCCACATGAACCTGGGCACATTGCTGTAAGTGAGAAAACCATGAACTCCTCTGTGTACCAACGTATTCTCGAGTCAAATGCTTGGCTTGGTAAAGCTTGGCTAAAACTGGGTCATGTAACAAGAATAAGCAGAGGAGCAAATTTACCACAGAATGGCTGAAAAAGAAAAGCATCAGTGTGTTGCAACAGCCAATTCAAAGTCAGGGACATTAAGATAGCTGTGCATAAACAAATACCCGCAAACCTGTAAAGAACAGCAGGCCAAAACTCCTCCACAATGATTCATGGGACTCATAAAGATACACAGAAAATGTATTACTGCTAAAGATGGTTCTACAAGCTGCTGAATCATGGTTTGCAGTGCTTTTGCATTTGGTTTTTTGTTAAAGAAATAGAGACGGTGTAATATACTCTAAGATTGTACATAGATAGCTTTAAGACTTGGAAAAACCCAGATAATAAATTTTTTGGTATGCCTGTAATCACAGGTCTATTTCCTTTTAGAGCTTGTGGTTATATATTTAGAGTCTCTCTGGGGATGTAGGCAGCAGCTGTCTTGGGTACCTTGTCATTGATGAGTTCTCACACCCCCTTACCTTTCTGTAACCCTGCTCTGTCATAGTCACGCAAATCTCAGTTGGATGAATGTGTAGGAGTGGGGATGCCCATTTGCTTGCTAAATTTGAGAAAATTTCTGTCTCCAATATTGTCATAGTTACCATAATTTGTTTGTCCTCCTTACACAGAGTAGTGGCAGCTATAGTTAGTTTAGTGGCGCTGCGTTGGGTGGTAAGACTACAAACTCTTCTGGTTCAGTAATTTGTTAAATGAAAAAATGTGAAAATTTGGTTTTAAATTGAATCTGTGGCATTTTCAATCTGACAGCAATTGATTGAAAAGAGTAGGAGGATGTGATAAGCGGTAACACAGAAAGAAAATACCTCAGCAAAATACCTCCTTCCTGTTCAGTGGGTGGCACAGGCCTGGTTGGAAGTATTGTGGCTTTGCTTTTGTACATGGCCCTGTAATATAGTATAATATTGAGAGCTACAGCAACCAGTTCCCATGGCTATAGATACCGTGTTACACAACATAAGTGCATCATATCGTAAAGCACATCTGGTGTTTTTCCTGCCACTGCTGCGGCCCTTTTATGTTACTGTATATAGCGCTTTGTACTTTGACGAAGCGCTTACTTGACACACACTCAGGACATTACCAACATCGGCATCAAATTCTCACAAAGCTGTTAAACTTTTACGATTTCCTCCGCTCAGCTAAAAAAGAAACTCCTGAACTGTCCATAACCTTTGCTTTTTTGCCAACCAGAGTGAGAGAAAGTTGAAAAAGTTGCGAGGAAATGAGTGTAAAACGGGTGGGTGGGGGTAAACTGTAGACACAAGAGAAGCTGTTGGCCGTGAGAAAGTGGCATAGCGCTTCATTCGTCAAGTCCCCTGACTGAAACCACTGCAAGCCACCAGCCACAGCAGCTACACAGATAAACAGCAGCGAGACTGTAGGCTGACCTCGAGGCTGCCTGATAACGTGAACCTTCTCTTCCTTTGATCGTCGATAACGATTCATTTGAAGTAATGATGTCATTAAATGTACTAGATACACCCACTCTGTTCTTGCCAGTTATAAAAAAGTACAAAGACTTTTTTCGTAATTAAGTTGCTGCATATGCAGAATATCCAGAAACATCGCTGAGATGTGCTGTCTGGCTCAGTGGCTCTGAACATCACATATTATGGAAAGTGATCCATCTTAAGCTGTAGTTTTTAAGCTCGACTAACCTGATGTAGGTGTGTTTGCTCACACAGCTGACTTTTCTCACATGGTCTGGTGCAACTTTGAAGGATATAATGGATTTACTATTGGTGCACTGTCAACCTGATGTATAATAATTAAAGATGGAGCTCAACTGCATGCTAGATTAAGCTGAAGAATAATCTGTCACTTGTTGTTCTTGCATTTTATCTCACTGCTAAGTGTTTACTTAAATCATCACTATCAGAGACTTTGCAACCACCATGTGATAAAACCAAATGGATGACATCAGCGCCCAAAACGCAACTTTCTGTTCAGCGTTCTCCCTTTTGTGGTACTGTTTTTACCCATGTGACCAATTAATTACAATATTTATTCCCCTATGTAGCAGAAATACAAATCTTAGAAAAATATCGCTTAAATGGCTTTTAAGGTCACAGAGGACACTATCCAAGTGTTTTCAGTGGTGTCTAATTATACAAAACTGACCCATAAAATAAATAGCTGGTGTAAAACATTTCATAAAGTAGTATCTGTTTTGAAAGAGTTCTGAGAACTATGCTGCTAAATATCTATCCATTCATTCTCTTCTACTTATCCAATCCAAGTTCATGGTTCTGGCTAACATACACACACACACACACACACACGCACACACACACACACACACACACACACACACACACACACACGCATACATACTGTATGTGCGTGTGTAATGACCTCTTTCCCTTGTTTTAGTAGCTGCTGGGGTGTGGAGGAGGGTAGTTGGACTAAGACTGAGAGAGTGACAGTCGGAGTGTGACAGAACGGAGCAAACACCTCCAACGTGTGTGTATGGAAATATAAATAAGCACAGAATCCAAATGTGTGTGTGTGTGTGTGTGTGTGTGTGTGTGTGTGTGTGTGTGTGTGTGTGTGTGTGTGTGTTTGGGGTCTGTGTGGGGTCTGTTTTCCTTGTGTGTTTTGTTGAGTTTAGCTTCCCTCGTCTCATTATTCCAGATTTGCTCTCGCTGTGTTTCCCACCTGTTTCCTCTCTGCCCCGCTCTCCCCTGTGTATCGTCTTTGCCAGAGCGTACTGTTCAGTTCACCAGCATCATTTTGTCCCATGGTCTTTGTACCGATGTGTCTCTTTGCCCTGTGTCAGTTTATTGGTTCAAACTTGGGTTCTGTTTTGATTTCTGTTTTGTCTCATGTTGGTTTTCAATCAGTTCAATAACGGGCTCGCCTTTTGTTAGCCTCCATCTGCCTCTGCGTCTGTACCTTGCATCCTCCAGCAACACATACTGACATTTGGCCCACTCTTCTTTGCACAAGTGCTTTAATTCAGGCACAATAGAGAGTTTTTGAGCATGAATGTGTGATGGTCCTGGGTTTTTGACCCTGTCTTTATCTTTTTCGACTTTCAGATTCTGTTCATTATTAAATATCTTCCGTAATTAATTAAATCCCTTGAGTTTCAGTTTTCCTGCCATCATTTCTTCCCCTGTCTAATGTTTCCAGCTAACCACCCACCAGCTGCAGTGATAGCTAGCCACCTTTCTGAGCCTGCTTTATCTGTTTTGCCATCCTCAAAGAGCAAATGTGGTCGCTGGTAACGCCTCGGTAAGCCTGAACACTGCAGCAGAAGTCAAGCACCGAAGGTCTTCCCACCTGGGTCAGTCAACCAGGCTGTGGCTAGCTCTGAGTGCAATCAATGCTAGGTCCACTCTGAGGTTCCGTCCTGGATTGATTAACACAAAGACTGAAGACACTAAAGACAAGAGCTGCTAGGTGCACATTGTTTTTGTAGCTGTGTCAGTCAGCACTGGGCCCACAGAGTGTTTCGCTGCTAGGTCCCAGTGAGAGACTGAATGTGGGCTGGCAAACCCAGAGACTGAGCACACTACACCTGTCCCAGCTGCGAGGGTGAGGGCAACCAGGCCACAGCCTCAACCCCAGCCTCCAGAGCTGCCTGTTGCCCTCTGCAGCCCCAGCCTCTGCAACCAAAGCATCCTGGACCAGCCTTTCTGCTTGCATCTACTGACACCAGGCTTTTCGCCATTGTTGACAACAATGAACCTCCTGAGGTATCCTGTCAAAACGTGAAAGTTGGTATCCCGACTTGTGCCATACAGATGATAGAGGGGAGAGTATGATAGTGCAAGGATAGAAACTGGAGCAAGGAAATGTAAGTAAGAGTTAATTTGAAGTTTCTCACAAGGGAAGTATAAAATGGACACACCGCTGAATAGATTAACTAAAAGACAAACACGGGAAAATAAAAAAAAATCACATAGAAATATAAATTCTGCGTAAAGAACAGAATTCATGGTACCATCAATACAGAAAGTCATCTAGATACTGAAACCCCAGTCTGCCATCACACTACCAGCACCAGGCGTGACTGTTGGTATAATGTTCTTTGTGTGAAATGCTATAATGCTAGTTTTATACCACATGTAATGAGACTATATATGTATGTGTGTGTGTGTAGTCACTTGAGGTACTGTAGTACTTATGTCATGTTTACCTTATAATAAAGGACAAGTAAAATATAAAGTACTATACTCCAGACTATCACAGCGAGTAAACATCTGGATCAAAACAAAAGGAAAATGAACTTTTGCCTACAATTGTTTTTTCTTGCCTCGCTCTGCTTCAGGTTTCAGGTTCCTAGAAAGGCAGTTTTCTGCCACCATCGGGGGAACGAGCAGCCCCTGAACCCCCCAAAACAAATGAAGTTGAAAACCCACCGAACCCACCAGCCCGTCTCGGCTCCCTGCACTCCTCTCGTCTGCTCTCCCTGAAAGCCCCTGGGAAAAGGTGCCAGCCCCCCACCACATCAACCACAGTGCTCTGACATGCCTGTCTTTGTGCACATCAAGGGGAACTCAGCTTCAGTTTGTGCTGCTCACACCAGGA